GCCTTATATGCCTTTCTCCACCCACCGATATCATTTCCTGCCTCAATTTTCCTGGTGCTGGGATTAAAGGCGTGTGACTCACAAGTACTGGGATTAAAGGTGTGTGTCATCACTGCCTGGCTCTGTTTCTCTCCTAGACTGAGTCAATCTCATGTAGTCCAGGGTGGCTTTGAATTCACAGAGATCCAGATGGATCTCTGCCTCCCAAGTGCTAGGATTAAAGGTGTGTGCCACCACTACCTGGCCTCAATGTTTAATGTAGTGGCTTGTTCTGTCCTCTGATCTTCAGGTAAATTTTATTAGGGTACCACAATATATCACCACATTGACTAGTGATAAAAGGAATTGAATGAAAGGCATTATATCACTTACTAATGATGGAATTAGCTGGTATCACACAGAAAAATCTCAGTATCTTTGTTTCACCCCCTTTTCCTCCAGTAGCCACATTATTGACATCATTGTAGATTTCTGTTGCATGGAACAGTCTTTTCTATCTCCTTATTGCATAGCACCACCCCATCGATTTTATTAGGTTGTTCAGAGAAAAAAGTTGAGAATTCCAACACTGAACACTAGTTCATATCACCTGGATCCTCTAATTAAACCTTTTACAACATTTGGCTTATCATATCATCGGTCTTAAATTTTTGGATGATTTAACCCTAAACAAGCTGGCGTATATTTCATTCCATGGCTTCAATTTTGACATTTTAATGCTGTTATCAGGCTTGACTGAAATCTTGGCATTTATTTTGGTGGTGGCTAAGAAGAGGTGCTGACTTGAGTGTGAATTCAATTTTCAGACTCTGGGGATTTTATTTCTGCCAGCAAGTATACAGACACATATGCTGTTACCTTTCCCACCACGTTTCATGATCACAGTTTCGTACTATTGAGTCTTGGAAGGACAGCCTAGGAAACACAGTTAAGGGTTCTTGTCCTGTGAATGAAAGCGGACAGTTGGGATGGAGGAGAGGAGCACAGAATGTTAGTTAGGTCCCACGGTGTGTGAGAGGGGTAGAGTTAGCTATTGAGTCGGGAAATGAAATCAGGAAGTTATTTACCAGTGTGACATCGCTGTTTCTGTGACATCTACAGCGTGGTTAGGGCTTATGGAACCTAAACTCCATGGATTTAGTAAGTACTAAGAGTACAGAAAAGTCATTTTAGTCTGACAATTTTGACATTATAGTCCATAGAACTCTGGAATTTACAGAAGTGTTTTAGAGGTTGGCCTAATAGTTGACTTAGATTTTTAAAATTTATTATACTATTTTTAAAAACTTAAAACAACAGACACATCCAACTGTGTTTTATACTACATTTTAGCATTCAGTAGGAACACTTACTAATCAACTTTAAAATAAAATAAGTAAAGGTTATTAATGTCAACCTAAAAAAAATTTTGCTTAGCACTTATCAGTCATCCATCAATGTCAGTGTAGCATTTCTGTTGGGAGACTAAAGACAAAAGGTCTTCAGAAAGGCCATTACACTAAAGCCATTGGTGTTAAGGTATTGGCCTGTGAGAGCTGATGTTACATTTGGGTTTCCAGTTACAGTGAGCACTTACCCATCTGTTATATTTAGTTTTTTCTGGTGCCTTCAGGAATCTGGGAATGGATGAGTGGACACTTTAAATTTGAAACAGCCATAAAGGGGAATATACAGTTAAGAAGTTGGAGGCTGGTACCAGCATCATCCCTCAGATAGGGCTATGAGTAGGTTCGGAAACTTCATTAAAAGCCCCGAAATGCATGTGTGCAACATTGCTGTTTAGTATGAGATTTTTAAGGACTCTCCAGTTGTGCCAGCAAACCCTTCACATGAGTTTGGCGGAGTCCTTTCATTTGGAGGCTGTAGTACTCACTCTGCTTCCTTCCATTCCAGATGGCATCACTCTCCCGTAGTCTTAAATACCTTTTGGAAGCCACTGTCTGCTTGTGTAGACTTGCAATCAAGTTTTCACGGTTTTTCCATCTCCATATTTTATTTCCCCATCTTTTTTTCTTAGGAGACTGGTCTCATACATAGGCCCAGCCTTGCTTTCACCTTCACTGTACAGTTAAGGGTTAAAGATGACCTTGAACTTCAGGTCTTCCTGCCTTTTGCTGCCTGCCGAGTGCTGGGTTTCCAGGCGTGTGCCAGCACTTGGGTTTTATGCCACGCTGGGGATGGGATCCAGGCTCTTGTACACGGGAGGCAAGTGCCCTACCACTTGCACCCTGAGCACTGTGCACCCATAACCCTCCACCAACATTTGATGGCGAACCCTTTGAAAGTGATTTTTCAGTGACTGCTTGCATGCTTCTCCTCTGTAGTCTACCAGTGACATTTGGTTCTGCTTGTTTGTATCGTGTAAGCCCATACGCCAGTCTGTTTTACTTGGGGATGTATCTGAATGCAAAGCTAGTGGATTTCTTCGGCAGTTAACTTCGTATATTTTATACACTCAGTCTAGTTTTTGAACACTGCCCTAATGTACCTACATTGGCATAGCATGCCATGAAAGAAAGGTGGAAAATAAATTCCTTAATTTTACTTTTAAAAGTAATAGTTTTTTTGGAATTCTGGCATAGAGTTGGGAAAAAAATAGCTGGCCCATTTTAAAACTTAAACTCTTTCTGTGACCCAGACTCTGCTGACTTCTCATTAAAGCAGGATATTATACTTGTAATTTTTATTTTCACCAGTTAGAAGCCAGATAACTTCTTACAGAGAGGTGTGATCATCCTTAAAAGAGTTGTTGTCCTTCCCACCTTCTCTGTTGGATTTGGAAGGCAGGAGAGCAGCTTAAATTGGTGTGTGCTGGACTCAGTCCCAAGCCCTGCTCTTAAAGTCAAAGTGTTGAGTGCGAATTATTAAAACATCACTAACATTGCTACGGTTTGAGCAGAACGTGTGGGATGGTGCATGGCTTTTTGTACAGAGAGCTCTCCTTCTATTCCTCCTTCATTCTGTCCCCCAAATTGGCCCGTGGGGCTGACTGGGCATATTTCCTTCTGGAAGTCTTCACTAGCACTCTTGAGGTGGCTGGCAGGAAGACCCTTAAAAGCATTTCTAAGCAGTTTTCCCCACTCCTGTATGGGCTAATCCTCGACTTTCCACTTTGGTTTCAGCTGCTGTTGCTTGGCTTGAGCAATAGACTTCTACTGTGTCAGGAGAGAATGAATTTAAAAGAATTAAATATAAAGAGCGATATAAACTTGACCAACTGCTTCCAACAGCACATGGCCCTTTACTGCCTGTAAAAACTCATTGGCATGGGATAATGTGCATGTCAGTCTTGAGAAAGACTATTAGGTTGCAGTGCTTTTGATTCATCTACCACTGACTTGCCCTTTGATCTCAAAATGTGACTGACTTGTCCTTTGATGGCTTCATAATCACCCATAATAAAATTGATTTACTATATAAAGTGTAAGAGTTGAGTTCTAAGCTATATCTAGTTTCTGTTATAGGTCAAATGTATGGAAGATTTCATTAGAATTTAGGTATGCACATTAAGCTTTCAAATCAGATTTATTTTTACCAATAAAAGTTAGTTTGTATAGAAATACTGCATATTCTGTAGTTCATATGTACAGTCCCACCCTTAATTCAGTGATATGTCCGTGACTGAGTTGAGAAGATGAATGGTATCAACTATAAGACTGCGTTGGAAGTATTTGGAGCTTGATTACACTGTGATTCTGGCTCGCAGGAGGTGGGAAGCTCCTGGATCTAGGCTTAGAACAGGTGACAGTACTTGAGCTTCTATTCTTAGTTTGACCTCAGCCCTTCTCTTAAGGTACTTACTCCAGTGTCTTGGTTCGTCCATCTCTAACACCTAAGATGCTGTTCCGTTAAAAGAGGGCCTGGTTTACATTTGCTGGCATCTGAGGATTTAACATAGAGGTGGCACAGCAGTTCGGATTGCTGGGTAGTGAGTGTCTGTGTGCCTAATGGCAGACAATCTGACAAATTACTAATCACTACATTTAGAAAGTTACAGCTCTGGCGGGAATTGATATCTGATATTGTTGTTCTGTGTGGTCTAAGTTACCATCATAACAGTAGGAAAATAAACCCCGTCCTGGCTATGTTACAAAGGGATTAATCACTTCTTCAAGTCATTGCTAAAGCTCTAGCCCTTTGAAACAACAGAGAACAGAAGTGTTCCTTCTTTTATTGCCTCTTCCTCCAAATAAAAGTCTTACAACTAACTTTTGTTATACTTCTTCGCTTGTTGAAGTCTTTCCAAGTTAGTTTCTTCGTAAAGAATGAAGGATGGACCATGTCAGTTACTTGAAGCAGCTAAAAATACCCCGTGCAAGTATGTAGCGGAGAGGGTTTTGAGTTGTACTTCGAAGCAAAGAACCAAAATTCCATGAGCTTGCCTTTTATACATTTGTCCCCAGCTCCTTGTGCCTTTGCCAAGACTCAGATGTTACCTGAGTAGAAGATGATTAGAATAGTTCAACTCTGGGTGGAACTGAAAAACCTGTATTACTATTTTCTAAATCCAACAGACTTGAAAGTTTGGGCCAACATGAGGGAGAGGATTCTTACCACAGGGATTCTTGGTCTTTTCATAGTCATCTCCCTTAAGGTTTTATGCCATGTGATACATGTGAGTCATGTGAAAAATGAGAATATCGACTTAGAACTAGGCCTGATTAACTTATGAATTGATATTAGATACACAATATTGAGCATATACCATTCATTAAAATAATTCTATAGGGAAAGCAGGACAGCTATTAATATCCCCATTTCATCGATGAAAGAAAATTAGTTTTCTGGTAAATAACTCGGTAGTTCGACCATCATGTTTGTGAAGACATTGGTTCCAAGACTTGTGTCTGTACTCTAGGTACAACACACTAAAGCCAGAAAAAAATGCTCATTACTCTTAATTTTGTTAAATAAAAACTTAAAATGAGTTTAAGTTCAATCTCGTTATCTCAATCCCATTGTACTAAAATTTAAATTGATTTTTTGTTTTTTTGAAACAGTCTCGGGAGGTTGTCTGAGGTTGCCTGGTACTTGCTGTATATACTAAGCTGCCCTTGAAATTGTGGTAACACTCCCATCTCTGGCTTCCACGTGCTAGAATTATAGGTTTGTATCATCAACTCTTGCTTAAATGATTTGTGAACTTGTTCAGAGAGATTGAAAATTAAATGCCTATTGTACATTCCTGAATTGATGTCTTCTCTGTACAGTTTCTGATCCAAAATGGTTATTTATATAAACTTACATATGTATTTGTAGCATTAAATGGGGGATTACTTTGGAGGGACATAAGAGTAATTAGGTTTTTCTGTACTTCCACAGTCCTGCTTTGCTGCAACACTCCATGTTAACATCTAGCAACAATAGATAGTCTGTGTACTTTTAAAACAGTTCCCTCAGAGTCGCCCACCATCTGGCTCTCACACTCTTCCTCCCTCCTCTTCTCGTAGATCTTCCGAGCCTTGAGGGGAGGTGTTTGATCAAAAACACCCCATTTAGGCTATGCCGACTTATAAACATCAGCCCTTCCCTTGCAGCCCATAGTTACTATTTTGTAATGTTTGCTGTGCAACTGGAGTAAAGGGCTGGTGATATTCCCTTTCCTTGTGTGTCTGTAGAAATGGGTTCATCAGTCACAAACAGTCAAGGACCGTCCATCCCTTCTGTAAGTTACTTCTGTGCCCTTTTAAAAAGCAAGTGCCTGTTTCAGGAAGGACTGAACTTTGAGGCTCTAGGAGTCCAGGTACTCTTTGGTTTTGAAGCAGGAACAATTGTGGGCTGAGTTGAAATTTTTCTGATGTAGATATAGTTGAAGATTCCGTGGCAGACTTACATAATGACCAGGATTGTTACTTTGTTTTCCCCAGCATGCAGTAGTTTTAAGGTCAGACCTGTGACTCAGAGTTGTGCACTTTCTTGGTACTATGCATCAGAGTGATATGTCTCCAGTCTCATCCCAGAAGGGCTTGTGCCCAGCTCAGGTTGCTCGCATTATAATCCCCAGCTGGGAGGCCACCTTGCCTTTTTTTAATAGGTAAAGAAAACAACACGACCATTTGGAAGCCGAGTGCTTTAGAGTTTGTTTTTCAGCCTTAGGACTTAATGAACACCAAGGCACCTCTTGATTGAGAAGTAGATCCTGCATTGCCACCAATCTCTTATGGTGTGGCTCTGCACGGACATGTAATGGTCAGTGTAAGTGTTTTACTAAGGTGAATGTTTAAAATTCATTTCAAATCGAAAGCAAGGCCCTTTGATTTACTGTAAAGAGTGCAGATTTGGATCAAAAGCCGCTTCCTCTCTGGGTGGCTTATTAGATAAAGGTGATCTTAAGCATAGTTGGCATAAGATTTCTAGATGGCATCTTCTCTGTATGCACAGAAATAATCTAGGCTTTGGGAACTACCTGATTCATTTGAGATTTCCATTTGCTTTTCTCTCTTCTTTCCATATTTTTCCTTTAGGTTTTTTGAAACAGGGTTTTCTTTATTTGTGCAGTCCTTGCTGTCCTGGAACTCACTCTATAGCCCAGGCTGGCCTTGGCCTGGCCCTGCCTCCTGAGTGCTGGCATTAAAGGCATGTGCTACCACCGCCCGGCACCTTTTTTCTTTAAAAAAAAATTAATTAAAATATATAATAGCTCCCTCTTTTCCCTGTAACCTCTCCCATGTTGACACCCCCAAACTCCCTTTTAAATTCATGCCTCTTTTTGTTTAATTAGTATTGTTACAAAAAGAGTGAAAAAGATAACAGCTATTAGCTCCCTACTTCTTATATGTGTAGTCTGTCTGGAAGCATCAGAAGACAGCAGTAGCTGAGCATGGGAATACAGCATGCCTGTAATTTCATCACTCAGGAGGCTGAGGTAGGAGGAGCATGAGTTTAAGGCCAGCCTGGGCTACATGATGTGACTATGTTTCAAACATCTCTTCCCCCCACCCCCAAAAAAAAGTAGGAGGAAGAGGAAGAAGGAAACAGTGGTACCAGTGGTTGTGAATTCACAGGGGGAGTAGCTATCTGATGACAGGCAATGGGAGGGGGGGACTTTTCATTATATACTCTTGTACTTTTTATTATTTTTTTTGAGACACGCTCTCACTACTTATCTCTGGTTGTTCTGGAACTTGATATGTAGACCAGGCTGGCCTTAAACTCACAGATCTGCCCGCCTCGGCCTCCCGAGTGCTGGGATTAAGATGTGTGCACCATGCTGGACTCCTGTCTCCTTTTAAAATGTATGTATTGAAGGGCTGATGAGATGGCTTTGCAGGTAAAGGTGCTTGTGCCAAGTCTGAGCATCTGAGTTCAACACGTGGAGAGAAGCAACTCCAAGTTGTCCTGATCTCTACCTGTGTGTACACCAGCCAATAAAGAAATAAAAGTAAGAATGCTTAAAAGCACACATTTAAAAAATCCTCATACGAAACGATGCTAGTAGTAGCATTCCTTATACTAGTCAGAAAGTAGAGATGACTCAAATGTGTCAGCTAATAATGGATGAACAATATATTGTGCATATGTACACTGGAATATCATTCAGCCATGAAACAAGGTGTTAATTGATGTTATAACATTCTTGAAAATATCTAATGGAATAAAAATAGTGGAAGATATCAGACATAGAATACCACTTGTCTTCATTAGGGTTACTATTGCTGTGGTGAAACACCCTGACCGAAAGCAACTTGTAGAGGAAAGGGTTTATTTCGCTCATGGTTCCATATAGCAGTTCATCCTCAAGGCAGTGAGGGCAGGAACCTGGAGGCAGGAACTGATGCAGAAGCCATGGAGGGGTGATGCTTACCTGCTTGCTCATCATTGCTTGCTCAGCCGCCTTTCTTATAGAACCCAGGACCACCAGCCCAGAGATGGCCCCACCTACAGTGGGCTGGACCCTCTCTCATCAGTCACTAATTAAGAAAATGCCTTAGTTAGATCTTATGGAGGCATTTTCTCAATTGAGGTTCCTTCTTTTCAGATGACTTTAGCTTGCATCAAGTTGACATAAAACTAGCTGGGACACCACATGCTGTATGATCCCATTTATATAAAATGTCCTGAACAGGCAACTCCATGGAGACAGGAAGTAGGCTTGTGCATGTGAGGGGCTGGCCTGGGTGGGGAGGGTGCTGGTGGTGGGGAGAAAGAAGAGTGACTGCTTAGAAGGCCAGACCTCTTTGGGAGTGGTTTACATCCTCTGGAGTTAGGTAGTATGGGTGGATATATAACTATGTGAATATGCTATAGACACATTGAAGTATGTATATTAAAAGGGTGGGTTCTTATGCTGTGTTATTTTATGGCATATTTCATCTCAGTAGATAATGATTAGCTTGGTGAGGTCTTGAACTTGGAAGCTTTAACAATTACTGTGAACATGTAAAACCATGCACAGCTTTCTTGAGTTTCTACCCAAGAAATATCATTATTATCATTCTGAAATATTTTTATATACTATTATGGATAACTCCAGAAGACTACCTTTAGTACCATTCACCGATGACCTTTCATTTTATAGAGGCATATTGCTAACCCAAACGAATCCCTGATTGGAAGCATAGGTAAAATACATAAGGCACAGGGTTGAGACATTATATGACTGTGGACCTTCCCCAAGCTCTGCCACTAGAGAGGTGATGGGAGTTTGCAGGGGAGTCTCAGGAAGACATTGAGAGCAGTCTGCCCTTTCCTCCAAGTTGATCCTCCAGTAATGCCTCTGTCTTACTACTTCTCAGGGGCTGTACATTGTTCTTGTCCCTTTCCTTGTGTTCTCTTGGGGTGAGCCGAGTCATAGGGTTAGGGAGGGAAAGGGTTAGCTTTAGGAGTCTTGGGTGATCTCTGTAGGCCCGACAATACAGCTTTTCTTCCCATAGTCACCTTCTTTTCTTGGTCCCTGGTCATTGTGGATAGCTGTCTGGAAGGCCAGTTGCTGCCATTTCATCTATCCTGTCCACAGGCCGGTTAGAAAATTCTTCTTGACTTTTGACCCAGAAGTCATCTTGGCATAGACATGTGGGATTGACTTCAATGCATATTTGATCATGTATAGGATAAATGGTGTATATTTCTAACACTTGAGACCTTAGGCCTTGTTGTACTTGAGCCAAGGCAACTATTTCACCTGAGCTTCTGAGCCTGTCCTATATATACATGGTTTCATAAAATAGGTCTTCCATATCTACATCCCTGGCATTCATTGAAAATTAGCTTACAGAATGCAATTGTAGTTTGCACCCTGGGGATGGTTCCTGGCTATGGGGTAGCCTCTTTCTTTTTTTTTTTTTTTTTAGTTCTGAGAAATCAGCTTAGGTTGTGAGATGTGTGTGACGCAGTTAACCTGCCTTATTCATTCATACTCAGAAGTTGTGTGGGAAGTCTGTTAACTCTAGGTAGGAAAGGCCTCCTCGTCCACTCTATCAACTGGGTTCTTTTTTTTTTCTTGTAGGAAGGCTATAGGAAAGACTCACTCCTAGATCAGGCAGGTGCCCTTCAATTTACCTAGCCATTCCCTTGAGAATTCAAAGAGCTTTGTTCTCACGTGGTCTCTCTCATTTGTTCAGAAACCATTCTTACTCCGGTTTGGATATGCAGCCCTCTCCTTTGGGCTGTTGTATTCCAGCCTCCATTCCTCTGAGTCCTGAGGACTTTGAACTTTGCTCAAAGTTCTCCAGTTATTCGCAGGCCCATGGTCTTTGAGACTGGGCTCTTGGCCAAGATTCTGAGCTCTTATCTCCTTTCCACATACCTCCTGTGAACTGGTGAACTTAATAAATTCTCCTTGCAGGAAGCTGAGGTTTGGGACAGCTACATTTTTGCAGTGTTGTTAAATAAATAATATACAGTGATTGCAGTGTGTCAGTCACTCTCCTGAGTAACAAATATGCTTTATTTTTCATAAGAATGATATCACACAGGTCTTCACAATGAGATCACATGGGCACTATTATTATTTCCAGTTTGCAGATGAGCGAGTTGAATTACAGAGAAGTTAGATAAAATATTTCCCATGTCATAGAACCAGAAAGTGGTAAAGGTTAGAATTCTCCTCTAGACATTGTGGCTCCAGAGTCCATTCTATTAGGCACTGCATTATGTTCACCTGAACG